CCCTCCCCTTCCCCCCTCCCCGCGGCAGGCCAGATGACGATTTAAATAGCCTGACCGTCAACTTGAAAAATTACATCAGGGGATCATAGTAAGAATTCATGACCGCAAAATAAACTCTTCAAGAACGCTTCTTTCCGCTGTATTCGTTTTTGCGCCTACAACCTCTTCTTGTTTCTCTCCAGTCCTCCGAGGTTAATGGTGTAAGACGGTATCACGGTCCTCACAAGACTGTAAAATATCCAGACAACAGAAGCCTCGGTTAAAGGACCTGTGACCTTTCCCAGAGACCGTTGACTTTAACAGCTGACCTTTGATCATACTCGAATAATCATTTTACGAATGTTCCATTAACTGACCAGCAGTTACGTCGATTGACGGATACGATTGTGTTCAAGGCAAAAACCTTCTTCGCCTTGTAATTTGCATTGAATTATATCCAAGGTACTTCATTCCTTTTTCGTCAGCAAACTAAGTTTCTCCTTCCAACTTGAAGTTCTTCGCCGCCATTAATACCAGATAACCCTGTTGATAGAGAGATCTCTCAACATTCCTTGATTATAGGAAGTTCTATAAAAGGATCTTGTACTTTTCTGCTCTTGGAACTCTGTTTATGACCAAACGTCCATCGTATGACAGTGATCCAAATACCCAGGGGTCAGCAGTAGACCACTCCACAGCATACACGCTATCCTCGTGTTCATCAAACGTTGCTATGACTCCATCTTTTACCGGTTCTCTGGACCTAAGAGCAAGATCAAACAAAGGGATTCGTTATATTGACAGCTTAACAAGTTATACTGACAACTTAACAAGCGATCCCAAGTGGTCAAGAAAACCTGTATTGCTCACTTAGGTAGCCAATCAGGGCACAAGATTTGCCTTATGTTTCCTGCTCAGAGTCAACCACATTGCATGCTCTAACAAGCCACACCTGCAATTAAAACTTACCCTTTGTCTTGTAAACCTTCATCTTCATCCTCCTCATCCAGATGACCAAATGGCTCCGATGACAAAGACACAACATTGTTTAGTATAACTCGGCTGTCACTGCTTGATGTCAAGAGAAGTTGATCATGGAAATGATTAAACCGTACACTCCACACCCTGAAAAGTATAGCAAATGCTTAGTCAGTAAGTTTCAGTTTACAATAGTCAGTCAAATCAGTACATCAGTAGCAGTCTGTCTGTCAGTAAGCGTGCTTGACAGTCAATTGCTCAGTTAGTGAGTATCAGAAAGTCAGAGTGTTAAGCAGTCAGTTATTCCAGCCAATCAAATGACCAGGAACAATTCACCAGCTTCAGTAAAGTCTTCTCCCTACCAGTGTGAATGATCTTGTAATACCATTAGAGGGTCAGCAGTGTTCCTTGTGTCCCAAAACCGCATTTTACAATCATCACCACAACTGACAAGTATGTACTGTTTGTTTGGATTGAAGTCCAAGTCACGTACTAGTTGGTTATGTGCACTCTCAACTGTGTAAACAGGCCTGAAAAGACAACAACAACATTTTAAATAATACTACATAATTTTATGTGGGGATTTTTACCAATTGATGATAGTTGATGATAGTTTCCAATATCATTCACTATAATTGACTATCATGTTTCCATTCAAACAGTTCATGATAGTTCATGACGGTTGACAAAATCATGCAATGAGATGACAATTGTAAAAAAATATGGCACACGCTGAGGTCAGCAATTTTGCTGGCATTTGAAATTTTAGTCAAGAAGTTGCAAGTTGAAAATACTGAAGCCTACTAGGAGATGATGAGAATGAACTACAAGACATTCTGCAAAATTTTGACAGCTATTTTTAAATTAGTTACTTTACCTTTTGCCATTTTGGTTAGAGCTTGTTTTTGGCAAAACTACTGACTGAAAAACTATCATCCACTCATTCAAATGACAAAAACTATCATCAATTGAACATGTCCAAACTACATGATAGTTGATGAACTACCATGACCATTTGAAGTGACCTTAAGCTTTGAAGCCACACTTGTGCAGTGAGAATGGTTACTAGGAGGAGACATCTTATGAGGCTCATTTGATGTTTTTGTGTTGGTTCATGATGTTCCTGTGTTGGATCCAAGCTTTTCCATACCGGAGGTTAAGTAGGTCACTCAAACATGATAGCTTCTCAATTTTACTAGAAAATGTGCATGCTTCCATTGATAATCTTACCCGCGATTAGGTCCAATTTTTGGTAAAAGGAACATGAACATAACGTGAAAAAAATATTGCAAAGTTAAGAAAAGCGAGCTTACCTCATAGTCCTCACATCCCAACCTTTAATAGTTGTATCATTTGCAGTGGCAATCTGAGAACCACTGTGATGAGGGTTCCATCGCCCTGTTGTGAACTTGGGTTGACCTTTCCCCTCCAGCAGAGCAGAGTCAATTGACTATGGATTTAAACAAAGGTGGCCAGTAAGTCCCTCTTTTTTGCTCTAATGCCACTCCTCACCTTTAAACCTTTTAGATTTGAGTTGGCAAATTATTTGAGAAGCAAGGATGGTGCAGTAGTGAGACCTTCCAAGCACTTCAGTTCAGGTTCAATTTCTGGGCATGCATGGCTTTACATTTGGGTTAAGTCTGTTGTTGGTTCTCGCCCTTGGTCCATGGGTTTTTTTTTCACATTCTTCAAGGTTTCCTCCCTCCACAATGACTCTAGCCTGCAGTGCCGGCGTATTTTGGGCGCACAAGTGCACATTTTCGTATTAGGCCACCATCTTAGATTTGGTAACTGTGGAGGATTGGGGCGAGGAAATATTTGCCGAGGGAGTAGGTGTTAAGTGGAAAATGGGCAACAGGGGAGAGGGAGGGGAAGGAATTTTTCCTCCCCTCCCTCTCCCCTGTTGCACGAAAAATGTGCACTCATGCGCCCAAAATACGCCGGCACTGCAGGCTACAATGACTCTCTTTAAAATTCCAGTTTAACATGAAATCAGTGGAAATAACCACTTCATGAATGCGCCTCTGCTAAATTGCATTAGTTTTTTTTATTTTTTTTCTTGGGAGAGGGAAAAAGTCTGTGAAGTGTCCTTCACTTTGACCCTTGTAGCTACCAATTCATTCCTATTACTACTTAGTTCATTCCCACTGGGTTTTTTGTCGTAGTTATCACTTAAATACCTCTGCAGTTGATGCACTTCTGTCCAGATCCCAAAGCTCTAGATGTTGTTCACAAACTGTTACAACTTGGCTTCCATCACCAGATGGATTCCATAAAACACTAAAGGAAAATGGTAAAAGATAACATTTTCACAGAGATGTAAGAAAATGAGCAGCACACAAGCCACTTAGGTTAACTTACACCTCAACTGCATGTTTCAAATTGCATAGCAATCTTGCCTTAATTTGAATGGCAAAAATTTATCCTCATTTTGTCTTAATGTTTTAAAACCTAGTATCAATGCTTTGAAACCTTGGATCAATGTTTTGAAACCTAGGATCAATATTTAACACCCCTCCTAAATGCTCAAAATTCCATGAGAAAGATGGCTGGTTCCCCCCTCCTCCTGCCCCCTTCCTTAACCAAAATAGACCCACAAGGTATAAATAAGCCCCTTTGGGCCTTAAATAGAGAAGTTACATTGTGTGAACCAACCTCCTCATATTCTCATGTTTGTTGTCAAAATGGCAGATAAGTTGTAATGATCGAGAATACCCACTTCCAGGGGGGATCCCTGGGGAGTCTAAACCAGGGGGCTCTGTGTCATCTATTGGGGGAATCCTCCATAAAGCACCATGTATTTCAGCTTTTGACTCTGAAACTGAATCATTAAAAACAAAATAATTACTTTCTATAAAAAAAATATACCATAAATGTCTGTTTAATATTACAAGGGAAGTAGGTTCATGAGATAACCGCCTCCCAGGTAGCTCAATGGATAGAGCACTGGACTGTGGTGCAGGAGGTAGAAGGTTTGAGCCCCAGCCGGCCCAACACTCAAGGTCTTAAAATAATTGAGAAGAATATGCTTCCTTTCTGTAACATCAAGAAATGGTTAGATATTCTAGTCTTCTCGGATAGGGACGAATAAATGGAG